GTGAAAACAGGGGGGTGGGCGCGTGCCCGGGGTAATAATACGGTATAACACAGTGTTTTTGATTTCAAAAAATAAACCTAGGTAACTGTTGTTTACATATTGAAGCCACTCACTATGATGCAATAAATTCAGATAAAATTCAGATTTCTGTTTCTGGCCTTCGTGTAAAAAAGTTAGTTTCTAAATTTCCAGGTGAAAAAAAGTCATCCATCTATATATGAATGACAGAAAGAGTAATTAGACATCAATATTGATTATTTAGACTAAAACTTGTTTATCTATGTGTAGCTTTAAGGGGGAGTATTCGTGTACTGATACTTTTACTGTACTTTTGTCAATCGATTTCAGTGAAGATTCATTCAATCACTGTTTGTCTCTCTCTTTCTCTCTCTGCATTTAGGTATATTCTACCACCGTGTCAATGGAACAGGTTTCACTGTTGAACAACGTACATATGCCCATCAATATTATACACGGTTATACGTCAATGATATCGTAATTCAACGAACAGATAAATCTACCGCTCCAATCAACTTGAAATTGACAAATAACTATGGACCTGATAGCAATGATTTTTATTTTAAAAAGAATCCAGTTGTGAAAGGAGTTGGGTTAGTGACACTTTAATAACATGTATAAACAGTATGTAACACCAAAGCAAAATATGCATTAATAATTCTGTACATCACATGTGATATTAAAACATCATTTTAATATGTTTATGTGCTTTGCACCTCCTATCGAATACACAATAGCAACTGTAAAATACTTTATTTTAGCTGGAATTCTTTTTCGCTGAAAAGACGTTTTTGGTGTCTTGTATGGAATTTATTTTCCCTGATTTTTGACAAGTTGAATGTAAAATATAGAAAAAAAGGTATATTAGCTGGATTTCATTTTCAATGAATCATACCTTTAGCGAAAATAGCGAAAATAAAGTATTCTACAGTAACTTTTTCTTTGAAATGTGGGTATTGAACTCCATCCTGATGTGTTTTTAGCTCCGCTGTCGACTTTGTCGAGCGGAGCTTATCATATGAGTGATTGTCCGTCGTCCGT